TATCTTTTTGACCTATGGAGTGTAGTCTATCCATATGGCTCCTTGATCGCCAGAGCAACCCAAATAGCTCTCTATCATGAGTTACAGGGGCAGTGACACAAAGTCACAATTTGGGATATGTGAATTGCCCCCAGCTGGGATTGAACCGTGGTTCATAGGTTAGCCCTATCCTGCCTTAGTCCACTAGACTATAACCAGGTAGGTCTTTTATTAAAGAGTATCTATCTTATAAAGATTATTAAAACAATTAGATATATTAATACTTTGAAAAGGAAAAAACTCTTTCCACTGATCCTTTTGTCAACCCCCAAAACAGATATTCTCAAAAGACTTTTTGTCTTTATGATAATAAAGTCTATATACTTTTCTTAACAACATTGGTTCCTTAATCAGCAGAGTGAGCAGAAACTACCACTTGTTTATTTTTTTTTTTTAAAACACTTTTCTTGTTTATTTTGGCAACTAAATATAAGAAACCTATCTAAAAGATCTATAGTAAAAATACCTTTCTAGAAAGAAAACTGACAAGAAAAAACACCTTTCAAAAACATCCAAAAAATTTAAGAATTCAGAGAAACAAGAACAAAGAAGTCTTTAGTCTTTCTATTATCTTTTTGGCTTCCCTTTTCTTTTTTCTCAAGTATACTTTCTTTTTTCTAGTTTTTCTGGGGAATTTTTCCTACCTCAGTTTGACTCTAAATTTTTGATTACATTGAATCTTCTAAAAGATGATTGGTCAAGGCTATACATGTTGCTGAAATTCATAAATCCTTGATGCAATTGATACAATTATTTGATGCAATTAATTGAGTCACTATTAAAACATATAAATAATTGAGTCATGACTATGGTTCCGAAAATTGGAATCGAATAAAATCAAACAGAATCGCATAAGGTTCAAAACACTATTAAAAATGATGGTGGGTATACTCTACTTATTAAATTTAATATAAACTTGAGAATCGAATACAGAATCGAAGAGAATCATTAGGATCCTTAGTCATGATGCAATTATTTTTGAGGATTTTGGAAATTGAGTCAACAGCAAAATAATTTACATCACATGTATAGTCAAGGCCATGGATTGGTTGATCATATCAGCTTCAAAAAAAGTAAACAAGACACGTACTTCTCATATATTCCCAGTTATGCAACACCAAATCAATGATGTGATTGGTTTCTAAAAAAGTTGAATAGTTTTTGGTTGAAGAAGTAGTATGGAAGTATTAGGTAAAGTAGAAGTTGTAAGTAGAAGAGAAGTGACTTCTTATTGTTTCTATCCTTTTATTTTCTTTTTTTCTTTTCTATTTTTTCTTAAAAACAGAAAGTAGCAACAAGGTCTAAGTCCTATTCCAATCTGGTAACAAGTTAAAGTATCAATATTTATTTCAAAAATGGTTGAAGAAAGGGATCTTAAAACTATCTACCAGTTAAGTGAAGCAATAATTCCAGAAGACATAATTTGGAAAAGAAATCAACAATAGAAAACCAACATTCTTTCTGATTAGAAGTTTTCAAGTATAAAGTTTCAAGAAATACTCTCCTGGAAGTGTCCTTAAACATTTTTGGATATCAACTACTCCAATGGAAATTAAACAGTTTGACTAGTCACAGGTAGTGAGAAGTGGGAAACTATAAGGGGCTTGGATTTTAAGTTTACTGAGATAATCTTTTCAATAATAGTTAGAATAGATAATAGCTTTTTCTTTTTTTTTTTCAAAAAATTTCTTTTTTTATTTCTTTTTTCCCTTGTATAGTTACTACAAGAGAGGGTAACACATTTTGGGTTTATGATTATAACTGTAGAGGTGATCTGCAGGTTTTAATCCTATTAGAAGTTTAGGATCTTAATCTTATCCTTTAGGGAAACAATATATTACTCTTATAAATTGTATCTAAAGGCTTTGACTGTCAATGAATGAATTGGATTAAAAAAATTTGTACTTTGTATATATTCTTATGCATGTAATAGTTTTTTATAATTTAATAAATAAATAATACCAATCTGATTATGTAATTAAATAAATAAATATATATATATATATATTAATACTTTTCATTTTTAATTAATAAGAAAACAATATTAACATTGGAGGGTTTTTATTTACCAGAACAAACTTTTTAATTACCCTTTCTTATTCTCTCTTTTTTTTTGTAAAAAATAAAAAATTTTTTTATCTCTTAGGACTACAGGATTATTCAGGGTGACAGTGTGAATATAGGCTGGCTGAGATCTTTTAAGATATAGTCTTTAATATCTAGTCTTGGAAGAGAGCAACTTCTTCATTTCCAATGATCACATCTAGAGAGTTTAGATTTAGAAAGTCTAAAATAGTTAATACTATGCAGTAATAGTTTAATGAACCTACTTCCTTATAGTGAAATAGTTAGTAAATAACTAAATCATATGGGTAACACAGTGATTTTGGTATTAAGGATTCAAAAATCACGTACAAATTCAAATTTATTGACAGGTATTCTGCAAATTATATGATAGTTTGGCTTTAATATAGTATTATATATATTGTATTAATGTTTTCCAAAATTGAGTAAATAAATGTAATTCTTGCAGTTTTATTAGAGGCAAAAAAAAAAAAAAAAATTAATAAGAAAACAATATAAAATAATACTATTTTAATATCTATTTGAAATCTAATATATACAGTATATAATAATTTATTGATAATATAAAATTTATAAAAATAAAAAAAAAACTCTTTTTTACTTTCCCTTTTATACTTGAAAATTTTTTTTTTAGAAAATTTTTAAATTGTTTTTTTTTCTTCGCTTTTTAAAAAATATGTATGTATATGTTATTTATTTTACTTATATTACTTAAAATAATAGAAAAAATTTTTAAATTATACTACAGTATTTTAAACAATTTATATTTTGCAAAACAAATAAGTAATAATAATAAACGCTGGCATAAAATATAAAATTTAGAATATAATTTATGTTTTTGACTTTTTTAAAAAACACAATCTAAATAAAAACAAAATTCTTATCTTTATTTTAATCTTTTATAAATAAAGATAAACATTATTTATAAGTTTTAATATATACAAAAGCATTTATAATAAAATATATATTTCTACAATACTTAATTTTTTCAATATTAAATTGAATAATTTAAAATTTAGGTTATAAAAAAATATATTATTTTTTTTAAATTTATAATAATACAATATATAAAAAAATTTTTATATTATAATTAATGATTTATACGGATATTAATAAAATTAGTAGACTGATACATTGTCGTGATATTGAAAACTAAACAAATTTCACGATCATTTCAAATTAGGTAAACAGAATGAATAATATCGTGTAAGACTGGACATAGACTTAAACTTCAGAGGTTTTTTCTTTTTCCAATTCCATTTCACGTCGCAATAGCCAGAATCCCAGCGATCACCAGACTGGGAGGTCCCAACCACCATAACAGATAACTCCACATAGATGGGTTTATTTTTGCAACTATTTTGTCGACCTGTTCTTCGGTTGTTTTAATATCCGCTGAATTATCGATGACATAATTGGCGTGTTTGACTTTTTCCTTAAGTGGCATTTGTGAAGAGATACGTTGTCTAGCTGCTGACTCCGAGATTTTGTCTCGTTCAACCAACCGAGTTAGCTGAAGCCTTTCGGGACTATTGAAATGTAATGAGGACCGTAAAGGATCTAGATGAAACTTTCGAGGAAATCTAGGTGCATAATGAATACTTACCAGTACACCACCAAAACCGTACGTATATATCTATTTAAGCCACTTTCAATCAACAAGGGAGCATCTAACACTATTATCCTCTCACCCTTTATCCAATACCATATTAATAACTTTAAAATTTCTGTTCTTATGAATGGGTGCGTGCATTTGTTCAGAATTTTCCTCTGTTTTTCGTCCGAGAATATTATATTACCTAACTTTTCTCTATTTAATGTACCATCTTCCTGTAAAATTTCCGGGGTAAAGTGTTTGACAATTAGCTTAAACGCGGGCCTTCCTGGCTCAACCACTTGACGTGCTAATAGATCTCCATCAATCACCGGTATTTTTCGACGAATAAACATTCGGGAGACAGTAGATTTCCCTATTTTAAGTAGTATGGAGAATCCTGAATTAATACTATGTCCATAACTGATTCTAGAAAGAAAACCCAAACTTAAGAAAAAGATTACCCGACGAGATTCCCCCGGTTAAACCTATAATCTTCATTATGAATATGATATTGTGAAAGAGAGATCATTTGATTAAGCTCATGCCGATCACAATGATAACCGTTTTTTTCATTTTGAAAATTTGCCATCTGTACAACCATGAGTTTTGATTATCAATGTTTTATTTAACCACCTAGCAGCTATTAGCTATTCCCCAATTCTTCTAAAAGAGCAAATGACTACCACCGGCGTTTGGAATTTCGGGGCGGGCCCTGCGACAATGCCAAAATCTGTATTGAAAAAGGCGCAAACAGATCTTTTGAATTATAAAAACACCGGAATGTCGGTTATGGAAATTTCACACCGTTCGAAAGAATATGAAAAACTCAATAATGAAGCACAGAAGAATTTACGCGATTTACTCGAGATTCCTGAAAACTATAAAATTTTATTTATGCAAGGCGGTGGACATACTCAATTTTCGGCTGTAGTTCTTAATCTGCTAGTGGTCAAAAGGCGACAGTTCGAAGACAGCACAGAGGGAGGAAAAGAGGAATTTAACCCACCACTGGATTATTTGGTTACCGGTTCTTGGTCACAGAAAGCGGTGGAGGAGGCGAAAAAGCTGTACAACAATGTTAACGTGGCCTTGGACGTAAAAAAATTGAGAGGTTCGTACGGTTCAATTCCACCTCAAGAAGAATGGAAACTTAGTGGTCCAAGCGCTGCTTATGTGTATTATTGTGACAATGAAACGGTTAACGGTGTAGAATTTAACCACGTACCGGATATCGATCCTTCCGTGCCGCTAGTTTGTGATATGTCTTCGAATCTACTTTCACGTAAAGTGAACATTTCAAAATTTGGTATGATCTACGCAGGAGCACAGAAAAACATTGGACCTGCGGGCGTTACAGTTGTGATAGTTCGAGAAGACTTATTGGCTACGCCTAAACCCTCTGTGGATGTTCCAGCCGTTCCATCAATGTTAAGTTATAAAGTTTTGGCTGATCACAATTCTCTGTATAACACGCCCCCCGTGTTTGCTATCTATATGTCAGATTTGGTGTTTGAATGGTTATTAGAAAATGGTGGAATCGAAGCGATCGAAAAAGTCAATTTTATTAAGGCCTCGAGGTTGTACGATTGCATCAAAAATTCGAAGATATATAGGTCACCCATCGAAGAGAGTGTTAGATCAAGGATGAATGTACCATTTAGAATAGAACCCGAAGAATTAGAAAAGGAATTTCTGAAAGGAGCTGAGGAGTTGGGTATGGTACAATTAAAAGGACATCGAAGTGTTGGTGGAATCAGAGCTAGTATTTACAATGCGATGCCTTTGGAAGGCGTTGACACTCTGATCAAATATATGCAAGAATTTGAGAAGAAACACTCTTAAAGAATATATTTTATTTGATGTAATAATCTTAAAATTCCTATTTAATAATAACATATATATCTATTACTTTACACTTTGATTAATATAAAATGGAATTTCGTGCCACTTGAACAGGTTGGTTGATTAGCCCTTTTGTCCTGAAGCATCATCACAGGGTGGAGGAATTGGAGTATTTGGATCGATAGGTGGATGAACTACTCTTCCAACTTTAAAATAAGTATGGTGATCGCGATAAAATGAAGTCCACTTTTCGAGTTCCTATAGAGAAAAGAAAAAATTTCTATAAGTTATTTGAAGAATTTTCGAATTGTTCTCGAATATAGATTACCGCAATTTGTTCACGTGTCAATCCACGCAAATCGTGAGTCAGGTGAGTTTTAAAGCACCCTGTCAAATAGGCACGTGATGCATCTCTTCCGGCAAAGAAGTTGTAACCGCTATCCTAAAAAAAAGAGAATGGACACCTTAGGAACTTGCAAGAATTTTTATTCCATTATTGCGTAATTATTCAATAGGTTTTTTCCCAAATCACCTTGCCGTAATATTGCTTCCCGGCAGTAACATCGAAGACCTCTCCGCTTTGAAAAAATGAGGTATAAGTAAAGATCTAGATGGTTTATGTCCAATGAGATACATTCCATAAACGACATATACTTTACTTCATAGCAAGATAGATGGGTAAATTGGGATCTGATCCATCATATTTGGCCAGCTCTTCTTCAGTGAATATAATCTCTTTGCGCTAATTTTATTTAAAGAAATTAGTTCAATTAAAAGAATAAAAAATTTCATTAAAAAACATTTTGCGTACAGGAATCCAACGTTTCCAATTAGTGTACTTGTTTTTATATCCCCAGGTCCAAGATTCAGTAATGAGGTAAGAACTTAGGAAGAAAGTTACGATAAAGATTAAGAATCCTTTTAAAATAATTTTTGCCACAGAAGTGGACTTTCTGGGTTCTTTGCTATTATCATAAGAAATATCAGATGAAGATGCGTCTTCGGTCTTTTTTTTACGCTGAGTTGGGATTGAAGACATTTTTCTACAATTGATCAAATCGAACGCTGCATCAAATATTTTGGATCATCTGATCGACAACGATCGGCAAAAGATTTAGCTTCACATCCAATCGATACTGTGTATCAAGAAAATTGCGCAACATGTGGAAGGCCCGTTGTTTAAAACGAAGGGGATAATTTTTTATGTGTTATTAGTTATTTTAAATCTGTAAAAGTATTTAATTTTTGGAAATATATTTTTAATTAATTAATGTATTCAGAGAGAGATCTTACATAATTTTCAATTGACTTTTATTTGTTAGATATTTTATATTTCGATATAAACCTGAGAAATCACCGAAAATAATAAATTCAACCTATAAAACCAATAATCGTAATATTGATTACATTCGTTTGCTTATACGGTATATACTCACTTTTGCAACGAGAGAAGAGGGATGCTAATTCTAACGGGAAACTTCGAATTTCCCGGGCGGGTGAAGATGTTATAACTTGAATTAAACATTCCTGCTACGTTTCAGTCTGTTTGTCCATCACAACCCATTTTCTTTAACCTTAGTGGAAACTTTGACCATTCTTATATGTAGGAATCATTGCTTCCAATGCAGTAACTAAATCTTCGTTAATCACAAACTTTTCAGAACTAAATTCCTCACGGCATTGCACACACTTGTTTCCAAATTTTTGAACAGATTGTGCGAGACAATCAAAACAATAATTATGCGCGCACAGAGTTGTAACAGGATTTTGAACCATTTCAATGCAGACCGGGCATTTAAACTCCTCCTCCATGATAGAAAGAAAGTCCGCAACTGTTGAAAAATCCTTTTCCATAACAGCACCCCAAACACGTGCATTTCTAACATCTTTTTTAACAAGTTTCATAAATTCTTTCGTTGGCTTATAAACTTTCGTCTTTGTTTTCTTGGATGGGGGTCCGTCCTCATTCGATTTACGCTTCTTCGTTTCTTCATCCTTCAACTCCTCGGGTACGTACATCGTCAACCCAAGTTCAGCAATACGTTTTTTACCCTCCGTTGTCCAAGGCGCAGGCTCATCATCATCGCGTCGCATTTCATAACGCCACACGATAAATCCAGCCTTGCCTTTTTCAGGCCAATATCTAACGACTTTATATAGGCCATCATATCTTATTCCTTCTGTAGGTGCGAATTGCAAATTATGCTTTTTTAATTTCTCGCTTCGGCACACTCGAATTGGTTTACCTTTTTTCCAATCGTTGGCCTTTGCCCCCCTTTCACTATCAACTTCTGCATCAGAACATAACGCGAGAGCTAAATTGGTTTTAGTAAGCTTTTGATCCGAGGTTTGTTCGGCTGTACGCTTATTGCCTGTTTTAAGATCCCTACCACCGGACCCGGTATAGATAAACTCAAACCCATTATCCGTGTCTTCAGGATAACCACCGCTGAGTACAATCGATACTGCTCCAACTAAACTTTTACCCGCAATCCCAGCGACGAGAGGACGATGAACTCCAGCTTCTGAACAGCTGATTCTGTATTTCCATGATGACCCTACTGGAATACCGGGAATGGCTCCAAAGTGATCGGGACCCACGATTTCGCACCTCTTGGAGAGTCCAACGCATGCCATTCCACCACCCCACTTCTTCTTTTGAAATGCGGACGGCATCTTGGATTTTTTGGATTTTTTAAGGTCCAACCCTTGACCCGCTAAGATAACGTCCTCGTCCTGATGTTTACAATATGCGCAATACCAATATTCCTCTTCCGGTAACTTTTCGAGAGGAGGATCCAGGCATCTAAAATGGAAGTAATATTGGCACTCATCACATACAATTGTGTGTTCTTCTTCATCTTTTCCTCCACAAGTATTGCATCCACAATTTTTACAATTTTTACGAGGATCATTGTTGCATTCTTCACAGACATAGTCTCCAATATCAAAATTATGGGTATCTTGCACAGGATTGTCAACTACTTGTTCGGAAGATTTAGAAACTATGGTGGATACAGAAGATTGCTTCGAAGTCTTTTTTAACTTCTTGAATAATTGGATGGTGTTGGTATTTTTGATGTTGTAATGAAACAGGGTGTAGCCATCTTCAAGTTGTTTGCCGCCAAATATCAACCTTTGACAATTTGGTTTATATCCTTTTCCAAAATGCTCAAAAATAATCTTCCTAATGACCTTTATGTCATCAGTAGGACCACACTGAACCTTGAGTTTATCTTTAGCTTCACTCGGGGCAGCGATATATATAAACATTTTTACTCGCGTTTTACCGCGAATAGACGCGTCTATTACTCTCACCTGATATATTTTGATTATCATATTAGATCATCTATGGAAAATTAATAAATACCCGGAGAAAAATCCGCTTAGTTTAGGAATTACGTATCTGGTATTAAAACAATAATAAAAATTAGATTAAAACAATATAAAAATAGGTTTAAAAATATATATATATATTATGATGATATAAAAAATTTTTTTTTGTTTTTTTTATAAATAAATATTATTGAATTTTTAATAATATTATTTTAATATAAAATCAATATTAAATTTATTATACAATAAGTTAATACTATTTTAATATCAGTTTGAAAACCTACAATATATATAACATGATTATTTCATATTAATCTTTTAATAAAAATAAGTTGATTATAATTTTTTATAAATTTGAAATTCGATTAAAATAAAAAAATAATTTTATAATTATTTTTCTTTAAATAATAAATAAAATTGTAATATTGTCAGGTATTTAAAACAAAATTACTTATAATTACATATATATTTTTTGACTTATTAATTAACTGTTTATATTCTTAGTAAATTAAATTTTTATATAATTGATATTATCAGTTAAATTTTCATCTATAATAATTTATTTTATATTTGAATAACTTGATATATGATAGAAAATCTTTTGAGATAAATTATAAATATTATTATTATTAATTAGATCTTAACTTGTTTATAAAATGATATATAAAAAAATAAATATTTAAACTAATATAATTTTTAAAATAATATTAAGCAATTATAATTGATTATCTATTCAAAATCAATTTAATGCATATTGTTATGATTTGAAATCAAGTTATTAAAGCATTTAAAAAGATTATATAAATTTGTTAATATTTAGAGTAGAAAAATTGATGAATATAAAGTTTTAAAAATAATTTTGAATAATCTTATATTTTTTTAAAAAAATTTTTTAAAAAATTATTTCATATTTGATACATGCAAGATTTACTTTGTTTTAATGAAATAAACTATGATTATGTAATGTTGCTATTTGATTTTATAATGATAATGTAATACTTTCATAATGATCCTATTTGATGATGCAAACAATATATAATAATAATAGTATTTACTGAAAACCGTATAAATAAATCTATCCGTCGAGGGGACATTCAAATTTTTCCAGTAGAAACAAAGAATAGAATTTTGATAGACAATAAGAAGTCGTGTGAAGGTTCTAGAAACATGGAGGCATTTAGCAGATATGAGTTGGGTCAGGGAAGGTCGGCCCAGGTCGATCTGTTGTTGGAAGATGAGGATATGGATTTTTATAGTCACGAAGATCTCCTCGAATTGTCCAAAATTGAAAACAGCATTGTGAATTTGTGTAAGCTATTCACCAAGTTTATTGCGATTGCTATCCAAGAATATTGTTTATAACGTCTCCTCATTGATTTAGTTTTGGGACACGTGCAATGCGGTTTCATGAATCAAAATCAAATTCTCGAAGCCTATCAACAAACCTATTCTCGACCACTACAATGGGAAGAATTTGCTCGAACCTCTGATGGCACATTTGAGGAATTCCTTGGTGAAACATGGGATTCATTCAAGGTCATAATGTGTCCTAAAGATCAAGTAACTTGGATCGGTGTGAACTTGCCGAATTTTCCAAAGTTAGATAATAATAGTCTTGAAGCCATCACCACGAAACCGTGTATTAAAGAATTCAGTCGGATCATGTATGATGTCAAAGTGTGGGATTCCCAGCATCAAGACGAGGAGGAAAAGACTCGGATGAAGACAGAGAACATCTTATGGAAACTAAGGCACTTGGTGATGAACAAAACAATCGCGAGTACATGTTGCATTAAATTTATGTATAAAATTTTGTACGAACGAAGAATTGATATTTCCAGTACAAAATATAAATCGTTAGAGGAGTTACTAGAGGAATCCGTTAATTGGAGAAAGATAGGGGATTCATACATGATGGTAAAAACGACAGATCAAAAATTTGGAGAATTAAAGAGAAAAAAATGGCGGCAAAAGAGTCAGGATTACGAGAAGATAAGTGAATTGCAACGAATGACGTTGTCAATTTTGACGGGTGAATATTTTGGAGATGTCATGTATTGAAGTTGACGTCAATTAGATGTTTTTTAAACTATATGACGATCATGTATAATTATTTCATGTAAAATGGTTGATCACGTGAAAATATACTGTGTCACAATAATTTTTTTGTGCATGATCATACAATCGAGATCGAATTATTTCTTTCTTCTACAATGGCAAGGAGGGTGCTTTATCAGGCTTATTTTTTATACCTCATTTTTTAAACATCCACATTCACACTTCTTTTAAAACAATAGAAAAAGAGAAGAACTCACATTCCCGTGAATGAAAGTGCAAGTCCCAATGCTCCAAAAATTCCAAAAAGCTTCGTCTTTAAGTCGGGCAAAGTTGGAACTTCGGTGGCCGGTCTGGTGAACGACATGCGCAAAGTAATGGAGCCACACACGGCTATAAATTTGCGAGTGAATATCCATCTAACTTTTCAAAGTATTCTATGTGATTTGATAATTTACTTGATTAAGCTAAATTTCAATTCCCCACTCAAAAAATATCCGTCTATCTTTAGGAACGTAAAAATAATCGATTAAAAGATTTCGTGGCAGTGGCAGGTCAACTGGGAGTAACCCATTTCTCGATATTTACGCAAACGGAGAATGGCACTAATTTCAGGCTAGCAAGGACACCCAGGGGACCTACGTTGTGCTTTAAAGTCTTGAAGTATTCGTTGATAAGAGATATTTTATCAGCACAGATTAATCCAAAAAGTTTAAATTCTGAGTTTAAGACTCCACCATTGGTATCTTTTCTCCTTCCCTTTCTTTTCAATGTCGTAGCATGTTCATTGTTGTTAATTATCAATCGACTCTTGTTTTAGCTCGTGTTGAACAATTTTGGTAAAGAAAAACATTTCGAGTTAATGGCCAACATGTTTCAAAGCATGTATCCTTCGATCAATGTCAACAAGGTAGGTAGCCAGGCAGGCAGGCAGGCGGGACTAGAAAATCATCATCTTATTAATGTATAATTTCTACTATTCCTAACTCGATATTCCAAATTGACGCGTGAAAGATGAATTTGGCTGACGCACGCAGAGTCGTTCTGTTTAACTATAATTCAGACACAAAACACATCGATTTTAGACATTACCGAATAGGAGTAAAACCTGTTGGCCTAAGTAAAAGTGTTAGGCGGATAATTAACGATCACATACCCGATTTACATGGTTATGAGGACATTAGCGAATATGTGTTAAGGTATTTGATCGTTACATCCAATATTTGTCAGTTGATTTGATAGTTATTACATTCATTACCGCGCTTAATAACCTCATTCTGACCCTATTCTCTCCATCTTTTAGAGAGGGTCATGTGTCTGGGAGCGAGGCGGAAAGTAGTGCGGATGAAACTGTCACATTGGCCCAAGATTTCATTGGTAGGAATAATAGAAAATCCGACCAACGCGCGATAAAATTAACGGAAATAGGACCACGAATGGAATTGCAGTTGGTAAAAATTCAGAACGGATTATGTGATGGGGAAGTGTTGTATCATGAATTTGGTGAGTTACTGGTTTACTAACATCGGTACATGATTTATATTCAAGATTATTATTTTACCTACTTGATATATTTCTGTCCGAGTATATAGTACATAAAACACCTGAGGAAGTTAAAAAGATGAATAAAAAACGTGAACGTCGAATACAGCAAGCTGCCTTGAGACGTAAAGAACAAGAACGAAATGTTGAACGAAAAAGATTAGAAAAAGAGGCACAGCGTCTTGCATCTATAAAAGGTTTGATTTTTTATATAAATAGATTTTTTTTGTATAGACTTGGGTTATTTGATGATTCATGAGAGATATATATATAGGTAAGCAAGCAGTAACACAAGATGAGCAAGAAAGCGATGATGATAACGAAAGTGATGATGATAATGAAAGCGATGATGATAGTGAAAACGGAAATGATAATGTTGAAGAGTTTTCTCAGGATGGTGATAATGATAATGAAGGTGAAGATTCCAAATCACGTGACAGAGACTTGTATGATTTAGAAAATGAGTTTTCAGATTTAGAACAGGAAAATGAAGAATACATTAAAGAACAACAGCAAACTGACAATAGTGAAAATGAAGTATTGTTTAAAGAGAGTTCTGATGAGGATGAAGCAGGTTCATCTGATTCAGAGCAAAGGAGCGTTAAAAGATCAATAGCGCCAAAAAAGTCAGGTAGCAAGGCACAATATTCTTCTAAGCGTAGTGTTAATAGAATCGATCGTGAAGACACGTCAAATGATTTTATGGTAAATAGAAACCCACGTCGACGGAGAAACGACGACTCCGTTGGAGACAGACCGAAGATGGGCATAAAAATTAGCATGACCATGAACAAGAAAAGAAAAAGAAACCAACATAAAAATTCATAAAAAACAGATGGCATATATAGATGTTTTCAATTTTTATTTGTATTAAAATCAAGGTACATATTATCCGACCAATTGTGAATATTTCCATACAAAATTTATAAATTAAAATTTAATGTCTGTGGTTTCACATATCATAAAAATAGTCTTGGTATTACACAAGGTCTCAATACTGGAATTTTGTTTGTCAACAGAAATTGTTAACAATTGCAGTATAAAGCAATGCCAAGTCAACAACAAAATCATATACGAATCGAGTTCACTTTCTATCAGATTATAGGTGGCGAACTTTTTAAAACATTGTATTTCGTTTATCGTCATAAAGTTTAAATTCAACTGGAGACTTTAAAACCATTTACAATTAACACTCAAGGACATATACTGTTGACTATGACTGAAGACCATTGATCCTTTATCCAATCATCCATTTCTAATGGAACCGTGATCGTACCGGTTAAGAATATTTGCGTTTCGTATAAAATATTGTGGGGGAAAGCGACCGTAATCGAGTTCACGAGGTTTCGGAATTTTTCTCACCGTCAACTCTCGCTGATTTTCAGTAGAAAAATGAGTATGATCACGATGAGAGCATCTCCTGTCCAATGAACTTACCAGACATCCGACAGTGTAGAGTCAGCATAAATTTCTTCGAAAGGGTTAATAAAAACGGCATCCTTACTGACGATATTATCATTGCAATCTAGATCACTGGAATCAATCTTGGAAGAAAAAGGGGTAGCAAATTCTACTGGCTGTTTAGTCTCTTCTAAAGTTTTATCATCGACATCTACACTCACGACAACGTTCCTTGGGATGATTGCCTTCGCGTATTTACTTTTTTTCTTTTTCTTAATATCTTCTTCATCCTTGATATCCACGAACGCCGATTCTCCGTTGACTTGATCGCGTACGAGCGCTCGTCCAATTTTTGGTCCCTGGAAATAATTGATCTCAAAATTTGATAACTCTCGGATACAAGAATCAATTAGCGCAACGACTTTAATGGCACCATCCATATAGTCATCATCAGGGTTTTCTTGGTTTGCCTCAATTATCAACGATTTGACATGCGTTCTCATGTGTTGTATCGACTCTTTGGGAATGATATTTGAGCGCACCAGTTTAATAATTTTGATTTTTTCAGAAGCAAGATGGAAATCCATGATTATTCATTAAATAAATTTCTTTGAGATAATTAAAAAGCGAAAAAATTAAAAATTAAAAATTGAACCAGCAAGAAATTTTTGCAGAAAGCATCCCTATATAGTAAATCAAAAAATATATCAAAAAAGTGTCATTACAAAAGTAATGAAAGATAGGAGGTATCTTGTCATGACTTGAAATCGCTAATCTGACATCATTATGATTTTTTCAATTGTGTCGTCGAGTGCCTCCGCGGGTTATATGCTGGAGACATTATCATGCATTTTAATAAAACAAATGACATCATGTATATTTTGACCAATTTCCATCATATTATTTAACTAACCTGCTTAATTACAGTAATAGAAATATTTTTTGGTGTTCCTCACTGATGAATGATATTGAATAAGGTGTCCTGCTTGATGATACTTCCTGTACTTTTTTAAATGGTTGTTCTGGGGAGGACGGTTTTTTGCGTATCGAAAAGCTGATGAACGAAATATGTAAATTCTGTCATTTTTTGCATAGCGATTCATTGATATCATTCATTACAACGATGAAAAGTATATACAACTGTTAACTAGTATATGTGGAAACAAAATGTATTATTTCGGAAAAAGTACATGGTAATTAGTATGAATAATTAAAAATGAAACTAGTTATTTTTTATTTTATTTATTTATAGTCATCTTATTGTTGCAGTCTTGTTGAATTTTGTGACCAAATTCTTCAACTATTTAACGAATTTCCTCATTTGTTATCAACATTTCGTTATTCATCTGTCACTTAAACTCGCCGAAAGGCATTCAATCGCCCATTGTTTTGCCTCGGATGAAACTCCCAAAGACAATGTCCTAGAAATTACCTTGTCCACCATCCCTAGGTCATATATATCGCCACTAACAACAAGCTCAAATAACATTCTAATGATTTGTCTATAAACTTTTACAATGTCGTGATCTAATATAGAAAGCTCATCCAAACTATCCGATAGGGAAGGACGGTTGTGATTTATGTATAATATTGATGAAGATGGTGAGTAGACCGTAAAAATATTTGGATTAAGTAATTCACACTGTTCAAGTGATGTGAGAATGCAAGAAGCATGGTAGGTTGTAAAGATACGCTCGGGTGTAGGTGAAATTAGGGTCAAGTAGTGAAATATTCGAAGAACGGAGTCGAGATAATTAAGTGACCACACAAGACTCTCCTTCTTTTCTGACCGAGGAACTTTTAGAAAAAGCAAAGGTTTTAATAATACATTACGCTGGGATATTATAAGAAAGGAGATTTACCCCGTAAACCAACCAACCAAATGTTTTTAACAGTCCACTTGCGATCAGGGTGGCTTCTTTTATAACTGCATGTAACGCCGAGTTTTTACATCCTCGTAACACTCGAAGCAATATTCGCGGTCCAAGTAATGTCGAATTACTTGCAGACATTGAAGGTTGTGATGTTAGGCATAAATGCCATAACCATGACAATAATCCTCGGTTCCTTGTTATATCAGTGATGACTCTAGGAACTGATGCGAAGTTGAATAAAATCTATCGACACGTCAAAGATTAATTATTCATGTTATTATTGACATCTTTGAAACATTGAAAATCAACAAGGTGCCGAACATACCTCAATTACAAGTTTACAAGACACACTATCAGCAAGAGACGAACAATAATGACTGGATATCATGTCCCAAACATGTCTTCGCATGTACATACGATAGTCCTTTGGTAAAGAACGTTTACAATAAATCTCTTGATTTTAGGAAGAAAAGTCAAGATCATGTTGATGTGTCGCATACCTCGGCGGTTTTTAATCCGGCAGATAAGAGTCTTAGAATCCACACCCTTTCTTTTTGATAATTGTCGGATGAAGAGTGAAACAAGCTATAAAACATCGGAATGTCCTAATTATAAAAATTTAGTCGGTTGGTCACGAACCGTAAAGTAATGAGCAAACGGCAATCCAACAGATTTCTTAAGAATTGAAAGAAATAATCACCTCCAAGTCTATTAATGGTCTTTGCAACAAAAACTTATTTATCAAGGGATACATGAAATGTGCAGGATTTGTAAATATGTTTAGCGCATGAGCAAAGAATACAGTGAATATTGTTGGCAAGCGTTGAAGTGGCTTTCCGTCGTCACGTCCTATGATAGAATTCTTCAAGGAATTCAATAGTAATAATATTTGCTTCTTTTCACGAAAATTGGCATTCTGTAAGTTAAAGAAAGGGGTGTGTTAAAAAACAGAACGAGGTAATATTCTTTAAAAATTTTTGTTCCCTATCCTTCTCACCTCCAGAAGAATGTAAAACTCATCCATCAAATAATAACCAGCCCTTCTCACGTCCTCAACGGTTGACGACAATGACACCAATATGAATCCTAACGCATTGACTTCAATAAGCTTTCGGCAATCCAATAGATTTCCATATGAAAACAAGCTCGCAAAATTTGGCAAGAAGAATGATGGATCGTATACTGGTGGTGCCCTTTCCGATTCAAATGAATATAACCTTTGTTGGTCACATTGAGAGGATAAGACTTCGGAGGCAAGTGCTTTCACTTCCAATGTCTTATCTATCGGAAAGTGTGTGTAACTGATCATCATTTTCATGGGATCGATTAAACCCAAAGACTCTACCACAATCTTCTGATCCATGAGACCACGTCGGTCCATCGAACGAATAGATCCTGGACCCCAAATCATGGCATAGGGTCCTACTGATGAACCGCTTGATTTTTCGTATAGTATGAAAATGTCAAGGAGCAATTGGTCCGCCAAAGAGGTCGAAGCACCATAACATGAAAGAAGTGAACTCAAGAATGAACTCTTACAACATACTGCGGGACTCGTGCGAAATATCAAGTTAAGCAAACTACATATCATCAATCTTATTAGAAAAGTTGGAGATTCGGTTGCTCTTTTAGATATATCTGGGATGCCAGCCAAAATTTTGAATTGACTATTGTTGATGATGGCTTCCACGACTCGATCCAAGGGAGGGCCAAGTAAATGCTGTCAAAAATCAACTAAGAACAGGAATGTGTGATGACATGAAAGATACAAATAGAAAAAGAATAACCACTACCTCTTTATTATATTCTGAAGAAATTAATGAAGCCACGCATTTCAAGACGATCGATTCTTCAAACTTTTTCTCCAGCAGAACGAAAATAAATTCCCCAATGATATTAGCATCCAGGTTTCTATTTCTAGGTATAAACCTAATCAAATTATCTAGACAGCAGCGGCGAGATAATCAATGATGAAATTTTTAGCAGCATGAAAGATAGTGCACGCAAACAAATGGAACAAAGAATCTCAGCTTACTTATCCGATTGAAAAGTGCCACTAATGTATCATGTTCGCAAGTTTTGAAAACCTCATTTTCCATGAATAATGTGGCTTGATGAAAAATGTTGGAAAGAAATTCCTTGAGGTTTAATTCATCCAAATCACCATGATTTCTTTCGAGGTAACATTCTATGACACTCAGAGAATCAACACCGAAAACAATTGATGACCCATTCGTTATTAAGCGCTCCAGAGTACTAATCAATTGTGAAGATGGGCTCAAACTCAAGAATGCACAGGTTGCTACAGAAAATCCGGAAGGTATCGCCCTTAACGTTTGAGAGGATGTTTGTTGAAATAATTGACATCCATATTTTTCGGATAATGAGAAAACTGCTCGCTTGTCATCATATGTTGCTATTGACGACCAGGTAAACTGTAGATCCGAATTCGTTGCGACTACCTTAAAGAACGCGGTTAATAAACTTAGAATTTCGCTGATGGACAAGGGATCTAGTAAGTTTGGTGTGCTTAAGATCTTAGAAACAAATTCTAGTCTGATATCTGAATTGATCGTCAAGAGAATTCCCAATATCCGAGATCTAGTATCGTTCATGTTGTCGACCAAATCTTGCACCAAACTTTTATCAAAATTCTTTGCCCAAGTCGGTGGCAAGTATGGGTGCATTTTTTTAAAATCCATTGTGTCAATTGGTTCTATGAGTCCGGGAGGAATGCACACCATCACTATCTGTAGTAGAAGATTATCCATTTCTCGAGAAGAGTAGATCCCCCAGATATATATTAACTTCTTGACAACATTATCGTCGATGATATTTCTCAAATTGTTATGAGAAATCGCGCTTAGCACATGCGACAAAAGGACTTTATATTGATTTACGGTGACTTCCTCCGACAAAAATGAAACATCAAGAATGCCAATATTTAAGATAAGCATCAGAATTTGTGATAATTCCGATACTTCCAAAAGACTGACAAATTTTGATAGTGTAGTTCCTATCTGGTTTTTTTAAAGAAAAAAGAGAGAAAATCTTAATTAAATTAAAATCGATAAATTCAAATAACGACGGAACTAGATCTAAAAGATTTTTATACATTTTCCGAAAGAACGCCTAAAGGAATAACTCCTGTTTCCACGCCCTTTATTATATTATAGATTTTATTCAAGAGAATATCCTTGAACATAACGAGGTACTTTATTGCCGTTGAACTCCTTTTTCTCCAGCTTTCATCAGCAATCTTATTTTTCTCAAAATATACAACAAAGTCGGAAACAACTAGAAAACAAAATAATATAAAAATTAAAAATTAATCAGCACGTAAAACACTGAACCAAGCGGTATATCATCTCAGGAACACTCACATTGATCCAAGCAATCTAACAGAGAGAAAACCATTTTATCTGCGCTCCAAGACTTTTCAGTTTTCAGCAAAAATAATTCTTTCAACAAAGGCCATCGAAACACCAATTCGACAACATAATCCGATATTAGCGCGGTTTCTTCGGAAGAATCGGTTATTACTTTTATGACTAGTTCTTTGAGTAAATCAAAGCATAATCTCAATGCCGATAAATTTGCATCAAGAAAGTTATCGAAGATGCAATTGATGCATAACATTATGTGACGAGAGGCAAGTGGAAGCTGCCTTGGCGGACAAGAAGACAAAGATTTTCTTAGAATAGATTCTATTAATGGATTATCCATGTGAAATAGGGCGTTTGCAAAAAGGTCGGAAAAGGAAAACGTGTCGAACAAAGACTCTACTAAAATTTTCCGATAGCTAAAGAAGTACGAGAAAAACGTTAAAGTGTATTTTACAATATTAATAGTTACCAAAAGTATACCAGAGACATTACCTTTTTTCCTTAACACTACTCTTCTTTGTATCAACACTTGTGGTTGACCTCTCTACATCAATTTCTTTTAAAATAAGGCTAATATCTTGAAAATCAAAAAGGCTACCGCAACCTGGTAGTCTGCAGTTTAAATATTGCTTAAATGGTTCAAATCTTACCCATCCGAGCACACTTTTGCAATAATTTGCTAAATCCAAAAAATACCGATTTATAATTGAAACCGGTATGTTTGACATCAGCTCAAGAAATTTGACTCTGGCTGTATTCACGCTGATAGGATTTATATCTATAGAAAAGTTCGGATAAGTATTCAGCGCAATCTTATTATTGAAAAATCTTGACATAATAGGCAATTTCAATTTCCATAATACCTTTAAGAACATTTTTCACCATCGATTCCTCTCTATTATCATATTCGGTAGGTTCCAGGCTAACGCATGATCTTTTTAGAGTGGCATATTGTTGAAAAAAGATATCGATGTTTATAACATAATCTGCGATATCCCAACGTCCTTTCCTGTACACGTCCTTTGAAACGTCTGCGTTAATACAATCCCTCAGGCAACCTACATAGGTGTTCAGGTATCTCGGCGTGGGTTGTTTATATAATAAATTTCGAAATAATACATTTATAAATGACATAATATTAAGGTTATTTTTATTTTCTCGGTATTTTTTCATCATGGTGACCAATAATGGACTGAAGGGATAAGAATTAGACAAATAAGTTTTTTTTAATCTCTCCTCCAATAAAGCATCAACACCTTGCTCGTTCTCCATTTCAACGGACTCCATTGTATCATCATTATTATTATCCTTCGATACTCCACAAAGCACGACTTGATTCAACTCATCAATATAAGGAAATGGATTTTTGAGAAAGGTTTCGATACTTTCACCGAGAAATCTTATGACCGAAAAATGATCGTTTAAGTCTTGTACGCTGTTGTCCTCTGGAAAAACTTGTGGTAGTGATTCAAGCCAAATAAATAGTTCATGAGGATCGTGCTGAAATGTGATGGACTTGGAAAGTAGATTTTCAAGAACATTCTCTGTACACGAACGAATCTGGGAATATGGAGTGCATATGTACAAACTCAAAAAAGTAACCAAGTGATTATTTTCTAAATTATAATATGCATCAATTTGGTCAGTTCTTCATGCGTTAAACGAAAAATGAACTTGTGAATTCCAGAAGCTAACCTGATTTTGTTGAAAAGTTGAAATCCGGGATAATATTCAATAACTCCAATAGGTTAAGCTGGGTCCCCACATGAATCTGACCAAGATTAGCTGGAATGAAATTGCCTATGTCGAATTTGGTTTCCATAATAGCCTCGGGTAAATATCGATGATAATACTTGAGTAGCTTCAGAACTGTTTCCTGAAATATGTTATTTCTTATTTGTTCACCATCGACACCATCGGTCATTATGGATGATGAAAATTTTTGCTTGCCAGATAATGTGAGACTAAGATGCCTGAGAAAAATCTGAATATCAGGAACTCTCCGTTTCATCTCTTCAAGCACATTTTCAACCGTTTTCCGCCACAGAGACGACGGTGCAACATCATCTGTGTCTGATTTGAAAACATCCAAATTATCAATGACCTTGCTAAAAGTTTGCAAAACCTTATCCAACTTTTGAAAGGATATACACAATGTAATCATAGTGTTGTAATTGACCAATGGGCTGCTGTTAACTAGACATTTGCTTAAAGTCGAGCGGTCAAAAACTCGAGGCAATATGTTTTCCATAATGGTATTGACTTTGGGTGGTATTTTGGGACAAATGTTCGTTCCCTCTGGATTGTAGAATTTTGGGACAGGCAAGAATATTATCTTTTGAAGTAAACTAATATTTGCCAGCCATCTGTACGAAAGGAAAGGGGAACCAAAGAGGTTTTTTGCATTTTGCCAATAACTAACATAAAGAATAAAGGAGATAATCAGTATGCATAAAAATAATGACAGTAAAATTAAAAACTTCCTACACTTGAATCAATTCTGGGCAAGCCTCTAAAATTTTCAATAGTAATTCTCGCTGTCTCAGATCTTCAGCAGGATTCAAGATTTTTATGAAGGAAGATAATATAACATTGTGCACTCGATCTTTTCTGTAATTAGTAGACTTTTCGGCGTTGTGTGAAGATGTTGATGAAACATTCGCGGGGTACCATCCAGAATCATGGAAGCATATTCCTGTACCCGGATTACAACATATTGACAATAGAAATCGGTGAGCTACATTCGCAACAACGTTTTTTGATTCCGGCGGTTCCGAATTGCACCTGGAATAAAGTTGTAAAATCTATGAATTCTTGAATCAGTATTACATAGCCATTACGTAATTTAGAATGGATGAACGCTTTAGAAACTTACTTGATTTAGCACGGTGTGACTAAAAAATGAAATTTTAGTTACCCTATTGATTTTATCGTCGGAAATCACGTAATCGTATATTTTAGTCAAAACCTCGTCCACCATCTAAATGAATAGAAACGAAAAATTGTTGAACGCCTACGGAGAAAAAAATATTCAAATAAAATAGGTGTTATTAATGAACCTCATATGGATCCTTAATCAATCCTTTGAATATTAGGTTTGCAAAGTTCTTATTCTCGAGAACGTTCGACTTGATTTGAGCATCACCATGCACGAAAAATGACAGGACGAACCGAATGTATAATGTGCGAACATCTAAATATATATATCCCAAGATATTAGAACAAATAGAAAAGTCACTTTAGCATGGATAGTACAAACATACACTACCGTAATGGTAAGCAGCTTTGTCGTTTTTTCTTATATTTAATAATCTAATCAAACTCTAACAATGCCATCAAATAAGTTAGGAAAAATATTAGAATGTCAATTGAAATTCGACTAACAAGTAATATTAAAACATTAAAGCACATTCGATCCAAAAGGAAACTCCGCGTATAATTCTCTAGTAATAGCGATCTCGTGTGAATTCATTGCTAATAATAGTTTGAGAGTTGCTTGAACGGTTGGTAGTCGAGTACATGACAAATTCCGTATTAGTGTTCTCATGTAATTTTTCAAGATATTGCGAATTAATATTGTTCCGGTAGATCGCAAAGATGAGACAATTGATGTGTATTGAATGAGTTTAGCGAAAAGTTCTAGTATAGAAGTCTCAAGCTTTGTCATGTCATTCTAAAAAGAAACATCTTATGTTATTAATATTTTGTCATTTGAATGGGTAAATAACAAGAATAAAATACTTACAGCTATTTGTGTGTCCCAAATTTTAAATAATTCACGACATTCCGAAGAACTCATTAAATAATCGTAAATTGCTGATAATCGATTATCTGCTGAAACATCACCAGCACTAATTTTCTTGATTCCATCTGTCAATTGTTTTCGAATTCTATATATTCCTAGTTTAAAGAAACGGAAAAGCCAGAGTTATACTAGTTTATACTGGAGTTTACAGAATGCGTTATTACAATTTTCAAGGCGAATTCGAACCTTGATATAACGCATCGTCAGTATTATCGGAATTCAAAAATTCCTGTAATTTTTCACGCGAAGGAAAAGGCTCCCAGGTTGTTGGTTTTGAATTTTGATCGTTTTTCTTTGAGTCGTGCGCCATATTTGAGCAAAGAGTATTATTTTTTTTTTTTTTTTTTAATGGATACGTTCAAAAAGCGCGATGCAATGAAAAAATTTATTGTTACACGAAGTTTGTGATCAGAAACTTTATTTTAATATCATGTGGTTTCGTAGGTCTAAAATATATATCACGTGTTATAAACAACAAAGAGTTTCTTCATCGAGAATGAGTTGGTCTGGAAGGAAAACTCGGTAGTCAAGATGAAATGACGAATGTTGAAGCATCACTTTTGAAATCTGTAAAATAAACGCGTGGAATTATGTCGAAAGCATAGATTCCTAAAATGCAAATTTATCGTTCATCATAATAATTTTGTTTGTGATTAACCATTTGCAGTAGGATTAGCGATCGGTACTATTATACAAGATAAATACGCATTGAAGATTTGTTATGTTTCCAGAAGCACTGCATATCGCAATTGTTCCACACTCTCGTAAATTGCATATAAAACTTGCCCGGAAAATTACGAATTCATATCAATTTATAAAGGGAACTCTTTGCATGTCCTCGAAGAACTCAACGGTTAATAAATTTGTTCTTAAAAATACATTAAATTTTGAGGACGTTTGAATGAAGAAAATAAAATTAACCGAATTGTCCAGCGTAATGTAAAGTCTATTATCATTCATAAAACATTATCGTATTATACAATCAAAAATATTATGTTTTTTAATAATTTATTTTTCCATTATATATATCATGTTAACAAATGATTCATTAGCAAAATATTGTTTATAATTAATTATATGATTCTGTGTTATTAAAATAATCAAAAAAATTATATTATAAAATTATATTTAAAATTGTATTTCTAAAAATAAGATACAAAATCTCTTTTATTTATTTCATCAAGATAGAATTTTTTAAAAAAATAATAACAGATACTTTCCCATTCACATTTAATTAATTATTAGTGATATACAAGTAAATATTTGTTTTTAATCGCATGTCATAAATTTCCTTGGTAAAATATAATAATAATAATTTTTAACCATGATTGTTAATATAAAAAAATCAATTTAGCATAATTTCTTAGGAATAAATTTTAAATTAATAACCATTTTTACTTGCTTATTTAAAAAAAAATAAGACTAAAAATTTGTCGATTATATTGTTTTTGTTTTTGTTAAAAAACAAATCCACCTTTGATTACTTCCAAAAAATCTTTGCCAACCATTTGTCCGTAACTGCAAATGTATATTAAATATTATTTAAAATATCTTTTATTATAATTTCGAAATTAAAAATTACATAAATCTTTAATGCTTAACTTATGATACTAAATATATTTAAAAACTATTCACGATAAATAAATTTTATTAAAGAAATTTTTTATTTTTTTAGATGTCAAGCAATACTTGCTTACTTTTCGTATTTATATTTTTAATCATCAGAGGATCGTGTACATATACTACTGTAAATTAAAAGACAAGATTTGATATTCTTTATTTTCATATGATTATCTCGACATAATAATTTACGTTTATGAATTCGTAAGTAGAAAGTTAAGTTTAAATGATGGGTGATAATTCTAAAAATAAATCTATTTCGCAAATTTGTGTCTCTAAACGTTGTATTCTTTATATTTTCCATTATGTTGGAAAACGGGATTCAATGAATCCCACATTGTTCTATACACTAACCCAACCCCGATCGATGTCACTCACTTTCTATATAGCAATATAAGCTATTGACGAACTATTAAGAATAAATAAGATAAAGTTAATTGTAGGAAGAGTAATTGCAAGTTCGAAAACATAATTCACCTGTTAAAAAGCAATGGATAGATATCCGCATAACTAACTTGTCTATGCCCATCCAATAATTTCCTAATGCGATGGATAAATTTATAAATAGCCTAGTACATTTAAAACTTATCAATTATCCCTGAACCTATTATAATTTCATGCGGAGATAGGATAACTATATCATCAATCCAAAGATCTTTTTGCAAAGAAAAATAATGTCATTGAAAGTTTTTTTTTCGGTTCGCCCTTTTATTTTCTGTTTATATACAATTTCAAATTAATCTCTGAATAAAAGGGTACTATTCACACTCCCGTCAAACATCACCCACTTTCCATTCAACTGCTCCTATCCTCCCTAATGGAGAGTTAGTGTTTTCAACATTATAAAATCTATATTTATCGGTGTTCATTCGTATTCTAAAGATTTCTTTTTCTTCTTGTAATCACTAAATGGAAACAACTTTTTTTTTTTTCTAGATTTAAATTATTTCAATTTTAAGTGGTTAATATAATAAATTTCTTTAGATAATCTGATTAAAGAAATTAAAAGGAAATTTTTGTGGGGATGAGAAAAAAAAATAGTTTTGTACAAAGAACCTTGGTCAGGTTTATTAAAAATAGTTCCGTATCATCTTTGTGTATTTTAGAAGCGACATTTGACACTAGAATTTTAACAATTAATATTAACTGTCAATCAAAATTCTTGTGCCATCCTGAGATTATAGACTCACTTCACTAAAAATTACATTCAATAAGAATTGATTGATCTTATTGAATAACCTGTAAAAGTCGACCTCGAAATATTTGCGGAGTTGATTTTCTAGCAATCTGATTCTTCTGCATCGTCTATGTTACCATCGTTACTGACTATATCAATTGGAAATATTTTAAGGTCCCCTATTTGACGTCCTTCCCATGGCCCCGATATGATTTTCAGTATATCCGGATACTAGACATTATAATTAAGAAAATAGCGTTGGCATCTTTTTCTTAAAAAAGAAAGTTGATAAGAATACGCTAAATAAAAAAGAGGCAATACCTTTATGAAATGCAGTTCCCACTTATCAAATTGTGATCTTCGTTCCGTTTGAATGTTTTCAAATGAATGACTTTCAGGCGCTGAATCTCTCCAAATTTCTTTATTAAGTAATGGCCATAACATTCTCTTCTCATCAAATGTAACTTTCCTTTGCGCTATATTCCGATTTATCTTCTTAGCTAAAGACCCACGATCCCACACAAGATATCTTTCGATTTGAATATCGATTACAAACCGCGCATCTTCATTTCCGGTGTAAGGGACTAGCGGATATCCATCAATTTTAGGATCAAACTGAAAGGCGTATATTGGCCCAGCTTTGAGAACTGGCGTTTTTGGTTGTGACTCTTCTGTGTCCGATAGTGACGATGAAGAAAAGTTTCCATCACTATCCTGATATACAGGTTCAAGATCAGTGTCGGTATCCATATTACATATTGATTCGTAGGTAAAGTTCTTTTTTTCTGATTCAACACTAAAAGTTTCTGATTGAGCATCTGGTGTGTCAACTCGCACTGAACTTCCTTCTTTTTCAGAATCTTCACAGAACTCCGGTGTACGTTTGGATACGTTTCTGGGTTCGTATTTTTGCTCATGTCCAGGTTCCGATTTTTTAGTGATATTGTTAGACAAATACTTGTCAGAATCAACATCAAGTGCCTGGCAAAGCAATTGTATAACATTTCTCCTACCTCGAGCCATTTCTAAAGGGGTTTTACCGTCTTCGTTTTTAATTCTAAGTGCCGTGTTGTGTTCTAGTAGTAATTTGATCACATCAGCATGTCCATAAAATGAGGCATAATGAAGAGGCGTGTTTCCATATTTGTCCTGAGCATTAATGTCAGCCTGGTAAGCAAGTAAAAAACCTATAATCTCATGATGTCCTTCTATTGAAGCTTCGTGCAAAGAAGTTCGTCGACTTAGCTTGTCCGCGTGATTGATTAACGACGAGTCCATTTCTAATATGCCAACTACTGCTTCAGCGTGACCTAACTTTGAATAGTGATGCAATCTACTGCGTCCGGTTTTGGAATCGATTGAGAGATCCAATCTTAATACTTCATTTGATGATGTTATCCCTCTAGCACCATTATTCCTTAGGCTATCACTACATCTACTTCTACCATTCGTCTTAGTTGAACGCGTTGAACGTCCTGGATGATTAGGTATAGATGACTTCCGATGTAGAATTTTGCCTGTTTTATTAGATAATTTTTTTAATTGGCGTACGCTTAATATGAAGGTTTAACTCAAATGAGAAAAATTAAATCAATCAGACAAGTCAAAAATATGCGTAGGTTGTTACCTGCTTCCCCGGGTGAGATTCTTCGAGATTCTTCGGAAACTTTAGCCTCTGTATTCCTTCGCACTATTAGTGAATTTGGTTCCTTGACTTTACTAGCTGACTTAAGAAGTGGTAAAATTTGCGGCTCATCTGCAGCCAACATTTTTGGCGTTATTCCGTTTAAATTCATTTTATCCGGATCGCCACCATAGACTACCAATAGAGAAATTATTTCTTCATTCGTCAAATTTACAGCATCATGAAGTGGTGTATCTACCCCATCCGATTCGCCCATATTTGGATTTGCCCCGGCCTCTAGTAAGTATTTTACAACATCATAATTCTGAGCATTCACAGCTTCATGAAGTGGCGTCAGTCCCGCATTATCACGAACATTGACTTCAGCCCCTCCGTTAATTAACGCCTTCACCATATCCAGACTTTCCCCTGAACATGCTTGACATGCCCGATGCAAATTTGTTTGACCGGCGTTGTCCTTTGCAAACACATCATTTTCTTCTATTACTGTTAATTTTCCCGAGTTCCTCCTGTGAATTATCTGTGAATCGAGATCCCTTCCATAATCATCATCGTTCTCATTATCATGCTGCTGAATTGGGACTCTATTCTTAATACCAGCAGGTCTTCCTCGTTTTCTTGCAGGTTGTACGGGAATAGGTTGTTGTTTCGTTAGTGGCTTAATTTGTCTCTTGGATCTTGTGGGACTACCTGAAGGCAAGTATTCATCATCATCATCACCATCACCATCTTCACCGTCTTCATCACTAATTCTCGGAAGGATTTGTTTCTTTGGAGGCCTACCAGGTTTCCTGTGTTTCTTTGAAGTCATTTTATTACTTCCTGAATTGGTGTAACTCGATTTCACTTTTTTCTTGGTTCCTCTACTGGTTGGCGAACCAAGACGTGAACCCACAGAACTTAGTTGAGACTCTTCGCCCAATTCATCAATGTAACCTTCCGAGGAGGAAATAGATCTCGCCCTTTTTTTATTTGTAGTAGATCTTAAGCTAATTTCTAGTTCCGAATCATCTTTGATCGTCGTGATCGTTGTCCCATCAGTGTCAGAAACTTCCGAGCCCATAATCATGAAGTAAAACGTCTCCGCCTATACGTCTAAATGAGAAGGCTCAGATAAGTGAGGATACAGAAGCAATCTTCGAAGGGAAAACGAATAAATATTTTGTAAATAAAATTTGGGTCGAATGACCATACGTAGTTAAAAATAATATCACACTTAAGAAAAATATATTTTTAACTAAATAAAGCGAAAACCCAAGCCTCAAAAATATCGAAAGGAGGATAAGCCCCTAAAATACCTTTTGTTGGCTATTGACGCAACGCCTGTTCTTCTGATGGGAGAATGTAAAAAAAAATAAATTTGAAAAAAAGCGCCTGAAAAGGTTGATAAACAAACGAATGTAAAAAAATCCGGCTCGGTGTTACGAGTGTGTTATCTGTACGACAGATGTACGTCAGCCAAAATTTCACATCATTGGATAATTTCATGCACTCATTCCTGTGTGCATCTATTGAAAACCATAAATATCCAAAATTTACTGCGGACGCTCATGACCAATTTAACGAACCTTGCTAAATTCGGACATAATTTTACAAAGTTCCACTGACGAATTCCATTGTCACTTGACCATGCCCTTTTCATATAATAAGCAAGACATCAAAGACTTGCAATACTCTGACGCGATCGCCTTTAAGGTTAAGCCAATAATCGGATCCAATAAAGTTCCACGCAATGAATGTCCTATACCAAAACGACTAATCAAGTTTCTAAAAAAACGGGACAGAGTGAAGCATGCCCATTCCTTTTTTGAACATACTGTATTTGCCTAGGGTTGACCTTAAAAAAATTCAATTGCTAAAATGCATCATCATTCCCTTCTCATGCGCATTATATAAATTAATCCGAAAGGACAGGAATCCGACACACTAATAACCAGGAACGGGTAAGTTGCAAGGTTGAACGCGTTGCAATTCTATTCTTTCGCTCTCATCTGGGCCTTATATGTGGTTGATCCAGTCGACGTGCTATATACAGTATATTATAAAGTGATTCAGGGAAACTCTACGGATCGCTACTTTATTACGTATCGCGTATATTATTCATGCTGCTTATCAGTCAAATTTTATTGCATGCATTTGCATATGAAAAAAAATCGCGGCATTTGATGCAACATTAGGAAGGTTTTAAATCTGTATAAATATCGATCGATGTTGCTTGCTTTTCGGTCAAATCTGCTTTTGGAAGAATGACCTTTATTTACACGCCAATCGCCTAACAAGATTTCAAGACATTATCATTCCTCGGAGTTTCCAAATCCTTCTATCCAATTAACGATTGCCGCAATTTTTACAGTATATGATCTAAGTGGTAGAAATCCTGTAAAAGTGTAATGAAGGATTATTCGGTGCATGTGACTGTCCGATATCAAGTAATAAGAATACGTAATACTGTATTTTCCACAAATCATTTAATAATAAATTAATTGAAACTTGTTTGTTTCTCTCCTACAAATAATAATGTCGATACGGTAGTCATGATATGGTTTCGTGGTTAATTATTATCCTTAAAATTGACCTGTTGCTAAATCTTGGAAAAAGATGATCGTAATCTAAGGAAAAACCAAAAAAGTTAAAAAAGTTTCAAATCAATATTATAAAAAGAAACCTGATAACTCGGTGATTAAAGATAATTACCAATCATAAACAACCTAAAAACACTTGATAAATCTATTTTATTGAAATTTTTAATTGTTTACTGTATAAGTAAAAAAAATTAAAGTTGATCTAAATATAAATCATAAATTGAACTAATATCTTATATTATTTTATATTATTTTAATAATAATCAAGTTATTATCAATATTTTAAAGAATTAACTTATGGTTTTTAGAAAATATTTTATAATATTTAATTAAGAATTTCAAAATGTTAAAAAATATTATTAACCTTCACTTTTTATATAAAAATTTATTAAAAAATTTATTTGAATCTATTAAAAATTTTTTTTCTAAATAAATAAATATACAGTGTGAGTCATAAATTTTTGGAATTGGTTTTTTTAATATAATTTTTTTAATAACTATTTAAATATTATGA